CGGCGATGGTGGGCAGCCGACTGGTACGAGTCTCTCAGGAGAGGGCAGAGATCGAGATGGAATGAAGCTGTGGAGAGGATGAGGCTGTTACGCTGGCCCAAGACGACGAACCCGATGACGTGTAGGGCCAGAACTGGGCCGGGTTCGGGCTGGCCCTGATTCATCTGAACGCTGAGATTAGTTCGCGGCCCGGCCTGCGGAGCTATTATTCACTGTCGTTGACCCGCTGGACCGCGTACGAGCCACACGCCCACGCGACCACCTTACCCACTCCCAAAATGTCCCCGCCGAGGCGCCTCGCCGTGCTCTGCTCCCACCTCCGCCCCGACGGCGCGGAGCCTCCAGCCGAGAATGAGCGGCCGGCCGGGCAGAAAACGGTGATATCCACCTCTCCGTGCGGAGACGACGGCCGCGGCGCGGCGGCCGGTCGCGTGGGGGATCGGGAGGCGGAGAGCTGCGTCTTCTGCCGGATCATACGCGACGAGGCGCCGGCGTTCAAGGTGCGTCGGGCCCTTCCTCCGTCTTCCCATTTGTTGGTTGCTGCCGCCACCGCGCTCGCGAGTCCTCTCTGCTGCACGGTCGCCTCAAAGAGGGATTACATGGCAGCTTCGTTCAGACCTTCGCTTATCCAAATCGTAATGCCTCTCACAGCATATACCCGAAGCTTGCTCTCTGAGAATGCGTAATCGAAGAAACCTCTAACTCTGTGTCGCCATGTAAACATTAAACATTCGTAGTTAAGGTGCTTGTGCATGAATTGAATAAGTGCCATAATGGGATGAATTCATTAAGCTTCCATTTTTCCATTACCTATTTAGTGAGGGGCGACCGGTTCATTGCTTTGAACAGGGTTGTCTGTGTAATTTGCAGCTCTACGAAGATGATGTATGCGTTTGCATATTGGATTCTCACCCATTGGCTCTTGGGTAAGTTGATCCCTTCTTTTCCCCCATATTTGTCAAATTATATGGTTGGAAGTTTTGGACCCAATATCTTGGAAGATTATAGAGCATTTCCAGCTTGTGGTATAAATGTTTGTCGTTGCCTGGAAGAATATTTTCTATCTCCTTGATTTTAAGAATTACATGAGTATGTAATGTTGATTGATTTATGCCTTCGCTCGAAACTGGCAAAATGAGTGTGGTTCAACTTTTTGCTAGTATTTAGTACTTTTGGGGCATCTGCTTAGGCCACTTGATTTTGTGGAGTATGAACACAAGAGTTTCATCTGGCAATCTTTTCTTGAATCTATTGAATTTTATGCACCAACCAATAGAAGCAAAAGTTTGAACTAATGGAGATGATTGGACAATCCACATAAACTTCAATAGAATCGACCTGCAGAAACAAGTTTGCAGGTTCAGATTACGGCCCTATAAATAATGCATAAAGTATTTTCATCCATCAATGATCATAAAGTTTTATGACAAGTGTCTGAACTTTCTATCCGGTGGATTGCTACGATTTATAATTCAATACAAATGCATTCATTGCAGCATATCAATATTTAATTTCAAAAATAAATCTTGGTTTTTTTACATAATTCACAGCCGCTTTAATTTATTCGCCGGATCTTCACAGTTAATTTACCGAAAAAGGCTTTCGCCCCGCTTTATATATAAAGCAAACCACTAGAGCCAACGGGTTCAACACAAAGATCCAAGCCACACGACACACACACGGTAGCACACGAGCATAGTACAGAGGTTAATGCTGAGGGCACAGCTCAACAAGCCCAAAAAAACTAAAAGCAACATACAGCGTCCGCGGCAAAGCCACAACCACGGCCATTCAAAGTATGAAATTAAATTAGAGGGAAATGTGGAGAAGAGTGAGTCGGTGAAATGCATTTAGATTTGTCTCTCTACATTTGGTATGCCTCTTTATACTTTTGGACACTAGTTTAATAAACAAAGGAACTTTTATCATATTTTATTGCCCAAGAAACACGACTAAACGAATATTGACCAACACATTTTCCTGCCAAATAAGGTTTTAGCAATTGGTTGGTTGGGTGGAAGGAACATAATAGATCTTAGTAAACCATACTCATTCATTTGTGCTGGCTTTAAATTAAATTCAATTAGCAATGTGTAGCTTACTAGATGCACAGGTTGATCTCCCTTGAATTTTCTCTCTTGAATCACCATTCATCTTAATTGTCTTGCTATGCTTAGTTTATTTTTTTCCTGGTTAAATCTGTGACTTTTAGTAGTGGCCAACACTCTAGCCAGATTGATTTCATCCTCTCGAGAAGAGAAGATAGGCGTGCGTGCCTAGACTGTAAGGTGATACCTGGAGAGAGTGTTGTACCCCAGCATAAGTTGGTGGTTGCTGACTTCCGCTTTCGGGTTCGTGTCCAGCGGGATAAGCGTGCCAAAGTCCCTAGAACGAAGTGGTGGAAGCTCAAGGGGGAGGTAGCTCAGGCGTTCAAGGAGAGGGTCATTAAGGAGGGCCCTTGGGAGGAAGGAGGGGATGCGGACAATGTGTAGATGAAGATGGCGACTTGCATTCGTAAGGTGGCCTCGGAGGAGTTTAGAGTGTCCAAGGGAAGGAGAAGCGAAGATAAGGATACCTGGTGGTGGAATGATGATGTCCAGAAGGCGATTAAAGAGAAGAAAGATTGTTTCAGACGCCTATACCTGGATAGGAGTGCAGACAACACAGAGAAGTACAAGATGGCGAAGAAGGCCGCAAAGCTAGCTGTTGATGAAGCAAGGGGTCGGGCATATGAGGACCTCTACCAACGGTTAGGCATGAAGGAAGGCGAAAGGGACATCTATAAGATGGCCAAGATCCGAGAGAGAAAGACGAGGGATATTGGCCAAGTCAAATGCATCAAGGACGGAGCAGGCCAACTCTTGGTGAAGGACGAGGAGATTAAGCATATATGGTGGGAGTACTTCGACAAGCTGTTCAATGGGGAGAATGAGAGTTCTACCATTGAACTGGACGACTCCTTTGATGAGACCAGCATGTGTTTTGTGCGGCGAATCCAGGAGTCTGAGGTCAAGGAGGCTTTAAAAAGGATGAAAGGAGGCAAGGCGATGGGCCCTGATTGTATCCCCATTGAGGTGTGGAAAGGTCTCGGGGACATAGCGATAGTATGGCTAACCAAGCTTTTCAACCTCATTTTTCGGGCAAACAAGATGCCAGAAGAATGGAAACGGAGTATATTAGTACCAATCTTCAAGAACAAGGGGGATGTTCAGAGTTGTACTAATTATCGTGAAATTAAGTTGATGAGCCATACAATGAAGCTATGGGAGAGAGTCATTGAGCACCGCTTAAGAAGAATGACAAGCGTGACCAAAAATCAGTTTGGTTTCATGCCTGGGAGGTCGACCATGGAAGCCATTTTCTTGGTACGACAACTTATGGAGAGATATAGGGAGCAAAAGAAGGACTTGCATATGGTGTTCATTGACTTGGAGAAGGCCTATGATAAGATACCATGGAACGTCATGTGGTGGGCCTTGGAGAAGCACATAGTCCCAGCAAAGTACATTACCCTCATCAAGGACATGTACGATAATGTTGTGACAAGTGTTCGAACAAGTGATGTCGACACTGATGACTTCCCAATTAAGATAGGACTGCATCAGGGGTCAGCTTTGAGCCCTTATCTTTTTGCATTGGTGATGGATGAGGTCACAAGGGATATACAAGGAGATATCCCATGGTGTATGCTCTTTGCGAATGATGTGGTGCTAGTTGACGATAGTCGGACGGGGGTAAATAGGAAGTTAGAGTTATGGAGACAAACCTTGGAATCGAAAGGGTTTAGGCTTAGTAGAACTAAAACCGAGTACATGATGTGCGGTTTTAGTACTACTAGGTATGAGGAGGAGGTTAGCCTTGATGGCCAGGTGGTACCTCAGAAAGACACCTTTCGGTATTTGGGATCAATGTTGCAGGAGGATGGGGGTATTGATGAAGATGTGAACCATCGAATCAAAGCCGGATGGATGAAGTGGCGCCAAGCTTCTGGCATTCTCTGTGACAAGAGAGTGCCACAAAAGCTAAAAGGCAAGTTCTACAGGACGGCTGTTCGACCCGCAATGTTGTATGGCGCTGAGTGTTGGCCGACTAAAAGGCGACATGTTCAACAGTTAGGTGTGGCGGAGATGCGTATGTTGAGATGGATGTGTGGCCACACGAGGAAGGATCGAGTCCGGAATGATGATATACGAGATAGAGTTGGGGTAGCACCAATTGAAGAGAACCTTGTCCAACATCGTCTGAGATGGTTTGGGCATATTTAGCGCTGGCCTCCAGAAGCTCCAGTGCATAGCGGCGGCTAAAGCGTGCGGAGAATGTCAAGAGAGGGCGGGGTAGACCGAATTTGACATGGGAGGAGTCCGTTAAGAGAGACCTGAAGGATTGGAGTATCACCAAAGAGCTAACTATGGACAGGGGTGCGTGGAAGCTTGCTATCCATGTGCCAGAGCCATGAGTTGGTTGCGAGATCTTATGGGTTTCACCTCTAGCCTACCCCAACTTGTTTGGGACTAAAGGCTTTGTTGTTGTTGTTGTTGTTGTTGTTGTTGTTGTAAATGAATGTTAACCTATACTTGTTTGTTCATTTTATTTTCAATTTCTTAAGTGATATTGTCTCCTTGTCATTTTCACATCTTCAGGCATTCGTTGATAATTCCAAAATGCCATTTTTCATCTATGGAGGTCACTCCACCTCATGTAAGTGTTTTATTACTATAATATACATGATATTGTTTCTAGGGAATTATTGTTTCTCGATTTGAAGCGGAACCTCAGCAAAAAAATAACCATATTTGGTATTTGATTTGCTTTTGATATTTTCTCTGCAAGTAATATGTAGTTAGGTAAATAACATCCTGCTTCCAAAATAAAATGGAACAAATAGTATCATATGCCACATCCAAATAGGTTTTCTTCTGAGGGACCAAACGAATCAAAATGCTGCAGTATTTATTCCATGAGCTGATTACCAATTTACTCTTGCATTAGTTTTTCGCAAATCTCATAGTTTGTTGTATGAAAGCTTAATTTTAGATTCTAAACTATATTTGAGCACAAAAATTTTGAGATACCACATCCGAATCTTTGTAGCGGATTGAAGACAAAAGAGATGACATGCAACCTTTCTTTTTGTTATTTGTCATTTGTGGAAGCTACTTAACTAGCCAAATAGTCATGCCTAGACCTGATGTTACTAAGGGAAATCTGATGATCAACTGGTAGATTCATTTTGTAACTACTATTGGACCATTCCTCCACATGCCTCCGGACCTGTTGGTTCCTTCTTGTGGCATGACATTTTTAAACTATCTCATGTATTCAGACAAATTTCTTCCTCTCCATTGCTAGAGGCGACACTGCCCTTTTTTGGAGTGATCACTGGTCTTATCAACTCCTGTGTAGAAGATTTCTGAGCCTGCATTCTTTTGCCCTTGATAATCTGTCACCGGTCCATGAGGGTTGATGTGATTAAAGGATGCATTTTAATCTGGCGAAAAGCATCTCAATGAAAAAGTAAAAAAAAAATGCACAAAGCAAGCTAGAAATTTTGCACCCCCATTGCTCAGTTTCTAGATCATCTACCAGATTAATCACATAATAACGTCTTCTGATGTTGATATCTTGTCTCTGAGCCAGGTCATAGCAGCAATGTGTTCCAAAGTACCTTTTCTGAGCAATGCAATTATGAAGGCTACTGACTGCGGTAGGTAGACTACAAATATTTTCTGTTCGTTTTTGGCATAACTAAATTATATATTTTCTTGTAATAGAACTGTCTGTATAAACTGAAGACGCACAGCAGAACTAAATTTTTCATCGCTTGTGTATAACCCAATGAAATACTTTCTCATGACTTATGATCAGTCTCTTGCACATAATTTTGTCCAAATATTGTTGTTTGGACTAATCTTAAAAGAATCAACATAGGCTGTTGAGTTATCCAAAAGGACTTCTCAATTTGTTTTCTACATTAATCCCAAACATGCATATGATTAGGAATGCCTGAGTGTCTTCAATGCCAGATTATGTGTTGACTAGCTAAAATGGTGCCAAATTTCAATCTTTCAATGGTGGATTACATAAATTTACAGAAGTATGAGAACACTGTCCTGAGATTGAAGTACTTTGTTTCAAAACCGTAATAGAAACCCAAAATGAGAAAATAATCCCTACATTGTATGCATTGCACATAAAGTCGATTTATTTGCTGGTTCCAACTAAATGTGAAGCTAATGTGACAGAAAAAAAAATACCTCCACATGTACCATTCAACACCCAAACTGGGTAATGTTGAGTCTGACACTATTAATAATAAGCTTGTGCATGAGTAAGTTAGAAACAAAAATAGGTGTGCCACTTCAAGATTAGCAGTGTTTCAATCTGGTACTCGCAGTTTCATCCATATGCATAACGTATCTGCATTTATCAGCATGCACTATGTGGATGACTTAATCTCCAGAGTTCATGTATTTTTCCCTGAATTTTCAAGAAACATGAGCACAACTTTCTTGCTTTCCGCACTATACAATATATTTCCATTTTCAGTGTGTTAAAAAGGCACTCGGTTATCCCTTTTGCACAAACAATGGATTGTGTAATATGACAAGTTTTTGCAGTCTGGTATTTTGTATTATGTACATCTATACAAAACCAATAGAATGTATGTGTTATTTGCCGCAACATGATTAGTCATTAGACTTATATCTTAATCTTTCAGAAACTAGCTCGGCAATTGCACTGATTTGTTTTGATGCGTCTAAGGATGCCATTTGTTATCTAACATTTGCTGATTTGCATATTAATTTGATCTGATTTTCTTGGAACTCAGATGCATTCAACTTGGTCGTCAATAATGGAGAAGCTGCAGGACAAGTTATTTTCCATGTGAGTAATATTATCTCAAACTTAAAGTGCATAGGCTCTATTTTGTATGTCATGGTTTTCTATTATTACAGCATGCTCACTTCCATATGATTCCTCTGCATTTGTTTATAATGAACTTTAGAATTATTTACTGATCCCTTGTTGTGCTTTCAACTATCTACAGACCCACTTCCACATAATTCCTCGTAGATCTGGTGACAAGTTGTGGCCTACAGAGGTATATTGTCTTCCAATTTCTATATTTCCATTTTCATAACCTTTAGCCTTAAGTTGGGGCTGTTGGTAGCAAAATAACTTGTCTTATCACCTACTGACATTCTTCATCACAATCACAACTAAAAAATTACAGAGCTTTAGGAGGAGCTCTATTGAGCCAAATGAAACCTCGAGTCTTATTAGCTGCATCAAGAAGCAACTTGATTCTTCAGAAGACTGAAGCTCATTACCGCATAAGGTCCAATAGAAAGCTGCTTCAGTTGTCCAGTCAAGTACATAATCTGCCTCGGTTGCATAGCTGAAGTAATCCATGAGTTTAACAAATTCGAAAAACACTGGCACTGTAACTACTGTATAATATCTGCCTCGATGCCCAGCTCTTATTGTCAACTGAGGGGACGAACTATGTACGGAGCCACCTTCGTATAGATGATTATATCTTATGGAAAAAATCTAATGAAACTAATTTGGTGTTGTAGATGTTAATATATTTTTTGATAACCTTGTGCTCACCCTATATACTCCCTCAGTTTCAAGATAATTAAAGTTCTAGTTTTGTCCTAAGTCAAATTTCTTGAAGTTTAACCAAACATATAGATAAATATGCTAATGTCTACAGCATCAATGCATATAGTATGAAATATATCTTATGGAAAAATCTATGGAAACTAATTTGGTATTATAGATGTTATTTTTTTTTTGATAAACTTGGTTAATAAAAAGAGGTTTGACTTGGGACAAACTAGAATTACAAATAATTTGGAATAGACGGAATATAACTGTACTAGAACCAATTAAGCCTGATAGCTAGTTAGGTAAAGGCTACGTACAATTTTTCAGGCTTTTTTTTCCTTTCTTATATAGTATTTTGTAATGTTCAACATGTATTAGAAAGTTCCTTGGGTATTTTAAAAAATATTCATCATGTATTAATTTATCTCGTATGAAGAAAATGTTTGTGGTCTATTTTAATAAAATGTCTGGCGAGGACGGGGCGTCGACCCGTTGGCTGGGCAGCTGGGGTAGCTGCCAGCCCACCCGGGTTCGGGTCTTGGTTTTAACGCACGGTGCTCGCGGAGTTTCTTCTATAAAAAAAGCTAACAATAAAATGCTTGGCATGTATTAAAAATGTTCATGGTGTATTAAAAATTCCATCGTGTATTTAAAAATTCATCATGTGAAATCAAAAGGACATATCATGTATTGAAAATTCTTCCACATGCATTTGAAAAAAAAATGTAATTAAAATAAATTCATGCATTTAAAAATATTTATGTAGTTAAGTAATTTTAGAAAAGTGTTCACACATTTTAATACATATGTTAAGCATTCAATTATTTAAAAAATATGTTTTGTTTTCAAACGGAAACAGAAAAAAATGACCCAAAACCAAAAAATAAAAAAGGGGGCATAATAGAAAATAGCGATGGAAAAACGCAAAAGGAAATGGAAAAAACAACCGAAAAGAAAGAACACTAAAGGGGGCCATTGGCCCCTTGAAAAAAAAACAGGAAAACTGACAAAAAAACAGGCCCAGATTTTGTTTAGGAAACCCTCTTACCGTTCGGTGCTAGCCCATGGCCCACATCAGTGCGCCAGAGTCGTATGCAGCACAGTGTATATCTACGAAATCACTAATTGAGAAGTATTCTTTTTGCAAAGATCACTCCCACCTCCTCGAGTTGTGACAAGTGGCGCATTGCATGTGCGTCATTTGTCGCAACCTGGTAGTTTCCTTTTTTTCGTAGAGTCGTTTATTCAAAATGTTTTATCTCTTAAACTGTGTGTCTAAATCTTGAACCGTTTTCGCCATTGAATTCCTCACGTTTAGATATTTAAAAGTAGATCCCATATTGATAGGTTTTGATGAACTTTTTTTCACGAAAATAAGTGGACAAAAAAACTGAACCAGGAGCACGTTTTTTTTCTCTTTCCGAGAGAGGCACAGTCGCGCCTCTCGTGAAATCATGACTGTGCCTCTCGAGGAAGCAAAATTGTGCCTCTCGTGGACGAAAAAACAAAAAATAGTTTTTTTTTCGTTTTCGAGAGGCACGGCAGTGCCTCTCGCGAAAAAAAGAAAAAAAAATAGGAAACACGATTTATTCTTCCTGTTCCCGAGAGGCATGGCCGTGCCTCTCGCAAAAGCAAAACCGTACCTCTTGCCAAAGGATAAAAACAGAAAATGCATTTTTTTCGTTCCCGAGAGGCATGGTTGTGCCTTTCGCAAAAGCAAACTTGTGCCTCCCGCGGAAGCAAAAAAAAGACGTATTTTTTCGCGCAAAAAAAAGTTGAATTTTTTCTTTTGTCCGAAAGCTAAGGAAGACCGGTGGAAAACAAAATAGTCGAAAAAAAACCGGGAACAGCCGTTAAAAGCCAAAACGCGTGCGGAAAAATTAAGAAAAAAATAGGAAAGAGCGCCCAGAGTGCGAGACGTGGCGGCGGCTGAGAGCGTGCCAAGTGGCGCTGATCGTTGTGAGGCTCCCGAATAAGCGCGGGCTCGCCTACTTCGAGATGGTACAACGTCTCGCCTCAGGCGGTAGTCCTGATGGGCCAGCCTAACAACACATATAATGTGAGAGGTCTTAGGAACCTTCTATGCAACAATGGGGAATTGATTCTCAGAACCTTTTGTCCGGGGTTTTTTTCCTGTGTTTTTGTTTTCTCTGTCTTTCTTCATTGGCTTTTATTGGTTTTCTTTTCTTTTTACGATTATCATTATTTTCCCTTTACTTTTTTAATAGTCTCTTGTTATTTCATTATTAAATATTCTTTATCTCACTTTTCCCCTTTTTTTATTTCCAAATACATGTTAAAAGTTTGTAATACACATTGAACAATTTTTGTATACATATTGAACACTTTTTGTATACACGTTGAACATTTTTCAAATACACATTGAATGTTTTTTTAATACAAGTTATACATTTGTGAAATGCACATTGAACATTTTTTTAATACACGGTAACCATTTTCCTAACATACACTGAACATTTTTCACAGATGCCATGAACTTGATTGTAAACGTGCAAACATTTGTTTAAGTATTAGAACATATTTTTAATGTCATGATCATTTTATTTGAATGGTAATGGTACCAAACATTTTCTTAATTACGTAGACTTTTAACATATTGACTTAACATTTATAGCAAGGCCATGAGCATATTTTTGAAACATGTGAACATTTTTTTTAAATTTGTTGAACATTTTTGTGATGGTGTGAAACATTTTTCTAAAATTAATTGAAGATATTTTCACATTGTATAAACATTTTTTTTCTAAATGTCGCATAAATATTGTTGAACTGCGTGAACATTCTTCTTAAATGCCATCAACTTTTTTTTGAATAGTACGAAATATTTTTTAACAAACTTTTGCATTGTGTAAAATTTTCTATAAATGTCACAAACATGTTTTTGAAATGCATGGACATTTTTAAAATGGAAAAAAATAAAATTGAACGGTATATACATTTTTTAATAATTGCACAAAACACATCATGAAGATTATTTTACTTTGTGATGAACACTTTTGAAAATTTAAGTAAAGTATTTTTTGATATATTTATTTCGAAGATATTGAAATATAAACAAACGTGGAAACAAGGACAAACAAAAAAAAGTAATGAAAAAACATACATCTTCGGGCACCTCTCTGAAAAAAAGGTGCAACTGGTTAAGGGGTACCCTAGGAAAATACATGTGCATATCATTCTGAGTGGAGTGGGGAGACGCACAATAGAGTGACATGTGGCGATGTGGTACTGTTGCAAGCTGTATGTTGAGAGTTCAGAGTATAAGTTAGTCCATGTTGGAAGCACATGTGTGTTACAAGAGTATAGTTAGTTCACCTTGTAAACACGGCTTAGTGCTAGTTGGGACTTGGGAGCACATGCTAGTTCACGATAGAAGCACATGTCAGCACACATTGAGAGCACCTGTTCGTGCTAATTGAGAACACACATTGAAAGGCGAGTTAGTTTATGATGGGAGCACAGTTTAGTTCACCTTGGGAGCACACATTAGTCCAAGTTAGGAACATACGTTGGAAGCACAAGCTAGTTCTACTTGGAAGTACAATTTGCGCCTAAAAAAAGTTACATCCAAATCTATCAACATGAGATCTTGTTTCGAACATGCTGATGAGAGGAACACAGAGGTGAAAACGGTTCGCAATTTAAACGCGTGATTCAAGAGATAATTTATTTTAGAAAAACTCGAATCTAGAAAAAGAAAAAACACATATAGCCAACGCTCCCATCCCCTCTACATGCGGCAAACACACAACAAAACTCTCTGGTGGCAACCAGTGACAGTTAACTCTTCCTTCCTTCAGTATACTTCTTTCTTCACTTCTGATCACCTTCTTACTTTGACTCTGATGACATGGGTCCAACCGTTGGGCCCCGCCACCCATGGCCGGCGTCGTGCTATTGTGCCCCCCTCACGCCCAGTTCTTTCCGAACCGCTTCCTCGTCAAACTTGTCATCTTCCCGACCATCCCTTTATACCCATGTGCTCTTCGGCATCGACGAATACCTCCGCACCCACATCCATACCATCAACCCTAGAACTCGCTTCCTCTAGCGGCTTCGTGGCCGCCTGTGGCTTCTCCGTCACTTACTCGTTCCCTGGTCAGCCCCGACGGCAATGCTAGGGCTACTGTCGTGGTACTAAGACTGACAGTAAGAATAAGGGGTACGTAGGAGGAGGCAAGGCCCTAGCTACGGTGAGGTTGTACGCAAGTGTTTACGAGTTCAGACCCCTCTCGGAGGAGGTAAAAGCCCTATGTCTCGGTGCCCGGAGGCGGTCGACTGTATTTCAGTATATGCGTGTGTGTTACAGGGGGTGCGAACCCTTGTCCCAGAGGAGGGGGGTGGCTTATATAGAGTGCGCCAGGACCCCAGCTCCCCTCTGTTACAGAGGGTTCAATGTACATAATGGAGGGGCGTTGCTGATAACGCCAGCTATATGTGCCATCAATGTCCATGAAGACTACGGAGTAAATGTCCGACCGTTGTAGTTTCGTCTGACTCCTGGTCTTCATAGGTCGAGTGGTTTCTTGTATGGTCGAGTGGTCCTGAGGAAGTTGGGGTATCCGAGTGATATGGTTGGTCGAGTGGTCTAACACTCGACGTCTTCCTTGGGTACTCTCTATTATCTCTTGAGCTTCTTTGCTTCTGGGGCAGTGACCTTGGGTAGGGCACGTAGGTCAGGTCTAT